TGTTCGGTTCCGGATATCTTTTCAAGACACTTTAGGTAAATTTAATAATTATTACAAACTTGGTTAAGGTCCATTGTTCAGTCAAATTTTTGAAACTGAAGCATCAGTTCTTCAATAGTTGTGAAGGAGGTATTAACAGGTTTGGACTCTTGATATGAATTATTATCCGATTAACGAAGATATCAAATAAAGCAGTAGTAAAATGTTGTTCTTTATTATATCACGTGTTCGGTGATTACAATATGAGTAAATAAGCTTGTGACGTAATACCACGTGTTGTGACGTAATACCACGTGTTGTGACGTAATACCACGTGTTGTGACGTAATACCACGTGTTGTGACGCAATACCACGTGTTTTGACGTAATACCACGTGTTGTGACGTAATACCACGTGTTGTGACGTAATACCACGTGTTGTGACGTAATACCACGTGTTGTGACGCAATACCACGTGTTTTGACGTAATACCACGTGTTGTGACGTAATACCACGTGTTGTGACGTAATACCACGTGTTGTGACGTAATACCACGTGTTGTGACGTAATACCACGTGGTGTTAGTGGTGTTAGTGATGTTAGTGGTGTTAGTGGTGTTAGTGGTGTTAGTGGTGTTAGTGGTGTTAGTGATGTTAGTGATGTTAGTGGTGTTAGTGATGTTAGTGATGTTAGTGGTGTTAGTGGTGTTACTGATGTTAGTTTGTGTAAAGTGATTTCTATGCGTTTTCTTATTTCTCACAGTTAATTTCCATTTTTTCAATGTAGAAACAGGATTTCACTGTTCAGATTATTGTTACGAAATTTACAGGTGCTGGATCTAGGAGAACCAAGATACAAATTTAACAGATGTCCGGACTGATTAATGTTGCGCAACAATTTTATTATAATGGGCTTTGAGAAAACGTTTCCTTCATGAGTACTAAATAATTTTTTGAAATGCAGTATTGAGCTTGAAAACTGTCAGCTATGAAACCGTCAGCTATATCATATTAGAGACAAAAGAGATGCCCCTCTTGACGCTATATTGTGTGATATATTATAAATTTAAAAGGTTTCAACAGAACCATTGTGCAGGCACTGGTCCTTTTTAATCGATCGTGATCACGTGACTAATATTTCAGGTTGTAAAGTTCGTCACGCAGTCATGATTGGAACAATTATGAAAACTCCTTTTTATCAAAGGGGCCAGCCGCCAGATGTTAAATGCAATGCCATATTCATATTGCCATTCATTGACAATTTTCAGCTGGTTTTTCAGTCAATTTGTTTCGAAGCTGCTGTGTTGATGAGCAGGTCAATGTCTCGTAGTCATTTGCCTCTCTGTGGTCATCAGTCGTTGTCCTTTTTCTGATCATTTGGTTTGAGTCTGTTCAGAGATTGTCAAGGTTTTGCCATATTTTGGTCTCAAGTACCAAAAATGAGATTTACAAGATTTTTACTGGTCCTTTTTTGGTATTATAGCAGTTATGCAAAGAATGATAAAAACGAAGGTAATAGAACAGCTAATGAGCATACTATTACTAATTACTGATAACTAACTCATAATATATATCAAGGTCTTTACTCTTTAGACATGGGAAGCAACAGCGACAATAAATAACTAACTCAACATTTCAGACTGGATCGAACTAAAATCAAATCAAGGAGCCACCTCTATGCACCTCTTCAACCCTAAAAAAGACAGAGTGGATTTAAAGATATCTGGTAAGGGTCAGCGAGAATTCCCGACCTCAGGTTTCGAGATCAGACTGACCTTCTACGATGTGATGTTGCAAGCGACTCTTATAATATATTTGTAAGAAAATATTGTGATCTATGACAGTTGGAAAAAAATGTGCATTTCAGTTTTGCCACAATATTTTACGGTGCTTGGTCCTGGATCTAACTAATAATTTTAAACAGCTGTCAAATTTCAAAGGAGAATAGGATCAGGATGGGATTAGCAAGCTTGTGCGGTCCAGTGGTTTTAACTAAATATAAAATAACTAGCAATTATTGCTTCTGTGTCAAATGGTTGATCAAAATCCTCCAACAGCTGGAACATTGAACAGCCTATAAATCAGGTACCAGATAATATTATTTTGAACATTATTTGAAAATGAGGTTTTAGTTTGGTGCAACTCGTCGACATGGGAAGCATTGCTCTGTTTCTGGTTGTACCGTGGATTAACATTGTGATTATATCTACAACTACTGATTACAACGAAGGTTTATCTTGTTTTCTGTTTTTACAAATAATGTTTTTTTAAAAGAATTTATCTGAACGTGTATATTTTCGTTTAAGAAGCTAATAAAAATATAAATTTTAGGCTGGTGGTCGGAGATAAAAGATGGAACAACAGGTCAACTACCATTCCTCCCTGAACGAAACAAAATCAATTTCACGGTTACCAGCAGAAATGGAACTGATCGGTTCTCAGACGTTGAAATTGGGCTGATTTTTGGCGATGAGAGTGGATCTGATAATGTTGGTTACATGCTAATACATATCAGTGAATGGAACACATACTTTGTGATAGCAGCACTTCCAGATAATGAAGAAATCTGCAGAGCTACTTTGAACAACAGAGCAGAAGGTTAGGAGAACTTTGAAATGATTGGTGAAAATCTATTCCAAGATTTTTTGTAAAATAGGATAGAATTATATCAAACTTTCCACATTACAAAAACATTCAGACAACTGCGCATTTTAAACTTAATATTCGTGTAATAAACTAGGAGCCTCGAACAATATCAGGTTGGTTAAGTGATCTTACTGTTTACGCAAACAAACGGTTGATAATATTAGATTCAACACCACGAGGGCTAAGCTGCGATCTTGATAGCTGGTCACTTTGGAAACAGACAACTGGTCAAGTCACTAGTGTAAAGTTACTACAGTCAAACGCTGGACAAACTGCAGTAGTTCAGTACCGGATATCTGTGCAAGATATTATAGGTAACTTAATAGTTATTATCGTTAATACTAATAGACATTTTTGCATTTGTGATAAGGTGAGGTAGGTACTTAGATCAGGTGAAATTAATTTTACTTTCATTAATTTATGTACTTGCTAACGTTTTATAAACATTAAAATCAGGATTACAGTTCAAATATTATCTGGTTAAAAAAAGAGAGAAATAATAATTAACCAATTTATAGTAAACTAATTAACAAAGATATCGAACCCCTGTCTTTTTATGTGACTCAATTTGGAATCGAACAAAAACTTCCTGGCTTTGTCAACCCTTCAGTGAGGAACCCATATAGGTGCCTTAGCCCTTAAAGCATTATTCCTTTTTCTTTCAGATCATAAACCTGTCAAATCCTGATGCAGATGTTTTCTATTATCAAAAAAACTCCAAAGAAATGATTGCCAAAAACTAGACTTATCATTGTTACTGCTTTACTGTATGATAAGTTTCAGCCACAACTTTAAAATAAACCAATCAGTCCCTGGGAAGTGGGCCAGATGTGAGCTGTCAAATAGCAATCTGTTCATAATCCGAAATTGACAATTGGCTTGGTTTTAGTTTTCAGATGGGACTCAGTTTTCTTGTTCTAGCTATGCTGGTGCGACTCACTTACTCCTCAAAGACTGGTGATAAGGAAGGTGAGAAGGGTGTGCCTTTTTTAGTGATTCGATGTGGACCCTCAGTATTGAATTAATACGCAGTATTTATAGCCAATTGAAAAATATAATTATATTTTTATTAGCTATAATGATTATCTTAAATTAGACTCCAACATTATATATAATTTCAGGTTGGTCGGAGATACAAGATGGATCGACTTCTCTGTTAACATTCCTCCCTAAGCGTGACAGAATTGATTTCAAGATCAGTGGAACGGACCAAGGTGATTATCTGTCCTCAGAGTTCAACCTTTGGTTAAAGTTCTACAACGTTAGCAAAATCAAAGTCGGAGTGATAAAGATCAAGGTGTGTAGAAGTCATATCGTCGTTAAGATGACACATTTTCCGGTAGAAAAGAAGATGTGTGAAACTGCTGTAGACAACGTAGCAGAGAGTGAGTTACTTGCACTAAAGTTCTGACCTATCATTGGAACCTGGTCTTCTTCCAATAAAGTATCTAACAGTTCAAATCAAAGGTGTTATTTGTAATTTTATTTATTTGTATATATAATATACAATTTCAATATACAGCACTGCGCAGGAAACCAAAGCTGGATACACGATTTGACAGTATATGCGAATAAACTGTTGATCATGGTAGATTCAACACCACGAGAGCTCAGCTGCGACTTTGACAACTGGTCACTTTGGATACAGAAGACACTGGAAGTCACCAGTGTAAAGCTAGTGCAGGTAACAGAAGATGATGACGGACCCGCCGGAACTGTTCGGTTCCGGATATCTTTTCAAGACACTTTAGGTAAATTTAATAATTATTACAAACTTGGTTAAGGTCCATTGTTCAGTCAAATTTTTGAAACTGAAGCATCAGTTCTTCAATAGTTGTGAAGGAGGTATTAACAGGTTTGGACTCTTGATATGAATTATTATCCGATTAACGAAGATATCAAATAAAGCAGTAGTAAAATGTTGTTCTTTATTATATCACGTGTTCGGTGATTACAATATGAGTAAATAAGCTTGTGACGTAATACCACGTGTTGTGACGTAATACCACGTGTTGTGACGTAATACCACGTGTTGTGACGTAATACCACGTGTTGTGACGTAATACCACGTGTTGTGACGTAATACCACGTGTTGTGACGTAATACCACGTGTTGTGACGTAATACCACGTGTTGTGACGTAATACCACGTGTTGTGACGCAATACCACGTGTTTTGACGTAATACCACGTGTTGTGACGTAATACCACGTGTTGTGACGTAATACCACGTGTTGTGACGTAATACCACGTGTTGTGACGTAATACCACGTGTTGTGGCGTAATACCACGTGTTGTGACGTAATATCACGTGTTGTGACCTAATACCACGTGTTATGATACCATGTGACGTGTACAATCTCACGTGGTTACACTTACTTCTTGTATCAGAGCCGTTATATCGGCACCACCACCACCTCACAGCTAGAATACCAAAAGGTAGAACTGCCAGCTCCAGTACATACACAAACCACTTTCTTAAATACGCCAAATACTTCATGTGATTCTCTGGGGAGAGTGATTATTGAATAATTAACATATTTCATACAATGTAAATATTCGTAAAATGTAAAATATACCCAAAATCTAATAGCCTCTTGATACAAATGCCCAAAAGGTAGAGACCCATATGCATATTTCAGAGTTTCTATCATGGTGCTGTAGTTGAATTCTTCTTTAAATGTGAAAATACCTTCGCCACTAGTTGACCACGACACGAAGACGTAGAACACAGAGAACATGGCTATGAGGGTAACCACAGTAATGCTGATACCCATAGTCAGGATGTAGTATTCCGTTGGAATGTTCTCACTATTCGCGTAACCTGCAAAATAAGAACTGATATATTAATAGGAACTTTGATACTTTAATATATTTTATACTTTATCTATTGCCTGACTTGACTGCTAAAAATCTAAACGATTTCTTGGCAATCGTAAAATTTTATAAATCTCCCATGGCCCATAGCATAGTTGTCAGTTAGAATGTTAATTTATAATGATATAATATCGATAATGGGCAGGTTCATTATTTTAACATACCGCTATCAGTAGGCCACACTGTCACATTAAACCCTGCTGACTCTATCTTATACCAGCTCCAATAGTCTGTCACGTACAGCATCCAAGAGAAGGCTCTGAAATATTTAGTGAAAAATGTGGGGAATATTTAAACGAGAATGTAGATGCCAAGATAAACCACCACTTGACACAAAGAGTGGTGTAACAATTTAACAGTTAGTTTTTGTTTCGTCCAAATCTGGGCTTTAATTAATTGGTAACAGATCTGGTGACCTGGCACGTGACAGCGATTAACCAATCAGCCTCCAGCATTGACAAATCAAAACCCACAATCACTGTCACGTGTATATTAATAGTACTCACGCAGTGAACTGATAGGACCAGGGAGTCTTGAGGTTGAGGGACCAGGAGAAGAGGAGGAGGAATATTTGAGCGTGAGTTATTATTAACATCACAGCATCGCTCGGCCATTGTGCTATCCTATTCTTTGGGTTTACCTGTGGGAATGTATCGTGAGGTAGGTGTGAATATGAAAATATTTGAGGCTTCGTTAATCTACCTAGAATGGGATGGAAAATCTGCATCTCAAATTGCTTCCCGCGATACTGTTTTCTTAATTGGTAATGCCTTTAAACACAAATATATAATTACCGATTATCATCAGGAACCTAACTCATTAAAATCTGACCTCATTAAATGTGTCCTCAAAGAAGAGATCATCCTCATCCTTCTCCTCGAGTTCGATAACAACTTTAGCTGTGTCTCCAACATCCAGAAGAGGCACTGTCTCTACAATATCATCGAACTTGTCTTTCTTGAAGCCCATTACCTTTCACCGTACCTTTCACCGTACCTTTTACATCCTTAAAGAAGACAAAACGATAGGAAATTATGTGACTATAAACTCTGTGTTAATTAATTTAATCAGTTTATTTCTATCTTGGATGTTATAAATGAAGGAGTTAAATAATGAGTCAAATATCCAATAAAGTAGTGCATCATCGCGACAATATTTACAGAAACATTAATTGTTACACAGACCCGCTCCTCTGAGCATATTAAAAGGATCACGTCAAAATAAAGTTCAACTTTATCCACGAAAAATATGAACGATTATTAACTTATACAAGGGTCACTGGAAAATCAGATAATTTTTCTACTGATTCCAGGTCACAGTGAATGAAGATCAAATAAATTGATGATCCACACCAATGTTATAATTTCAACACATCAGTTCATACTGTGTAACTGTGAGCGCTCCATCATAGAACTTGGTATTAACAAATAAAAATAAATAATTTATTCCTAGCTTGCTGTGACCTCTCGCTGGAGTCATGACAATATTCAAGTTTTTATTAATTCCAAAAGTAATCAGCAAGCAATCAGGAAGTTCAAAGCCTGTGTTCTGTTTGCCTCGTATAGAAGGTAGTATAGGGCGAGGAGGGCTCCCTAGATCCGGTTTTCTGAACTAAGCCCTCAGCAAAGTGAAATCTTTTCTGATAAAAAACAAATCGGGGATCGTCAGTCTAAATCGTCATCAGCTCCAGATGTTGGCCCTGAAATAAAATAATCGATTATAGCTCCATCAATGATCAATCGTGATAGTACGTCTATCTGTAAGGATTTGATTTTCCGGCAAAGTTCAAGTTTAAATTAGTTTATCATAAGAAAGTTTCTTTGATTGCTAAGCACAAAATGTTACACGATATAGTCACTTACGCTTACTCTTGTTGTTGTTGTTCTTTTGTATGGTCTGACCCATCCTTGACAGAAAGTCATCATTTCCTGGAGGAACAGCCCTAACACCTTGAGCCTCTTCATGGGCATCACCCACATACATTTGTTCCACATCATCGTTACGTATGTCGTCCTGTCTGGCGAACATGTCTGAGAGATCGTTGCTGTGAACTTCTGTGATCAGGAAAGGATTCTTTTTTGCCTCGGTAGGAGAGGAGAGTGTTTCTATCCTTGGTTTGGAGGAGGTAGAGGGGGTGAAGGAAGTGTTCTTGTCTGAGCTTTCAACTTCTTCTATGATAAGTTTGTTGCCTGACTTAGTTGGAGGGCTAACTTCTTGAATACCATTAGAGTTAGTGCTTTGTTCAATTAGAAAATGGTCACTGGAATTTGATTTCTCTTTGTCTTCCTCGTTTTCATCATCACTTGCATCACTGTCAGAAACAAGATCCGCAAATATATCACTGGACTTCTTCGATACTTTCTGCTTTCCAAAAATAGAAGTAGGCTCACTAGATGGTACGTTAACTTCAATTATTTCCGATTGTTTTTCTACCTCAGGTTGAACAGTAACAGGCGATGATACTGTCTGTTGATTTTCTGTAAGGTTTGAAGATCCTTCTAGAGTAAGATCGGGTTCTTCTAGAGCAGGCAAGTCATCAAACTCTTCTTCAACATTCTGCTGTACACCGGTTGTGTTTGGGGCTCTGATTGTTTGGGGTTCTTCTTGTTCTTTCAGAAGGCCAGACTTTTCAGTTTCATCAGCTTTAGGCGCAAGAGATTTTGGTATCAACAGACCACTTTTTGTTCGAGTAGTGCCTTCATACACCCCTTTCTTTTCAACAGCGTCCTGAAATAATAATGATTGAAATGTTAAGTAAATTGAAACAGTTTTATAAATAAAAACATGACCTAAAGCAGGATGCAAATAAGACATACTGAGCCAAATGATATAATTATTATAATATGTAACCTTCTTCAGTCGTGACATGGCACTGAAGCATGACTCAATCTTAGCTCGTTCCCTGTCATTCCATCTTATCCTTTCCTCTTTCTCTGCCTCAACACCACCACGTGCCCATGCTTCAGCACACGCTCTGTCTTTGGGAAACACTGGTCTGTCGTCCAAGTACTTTAGATTGGCTAGACGGACAGTCAGGACCTGAAATAAAGAGCTGATTATATTGTTGCAGGTTAGTGGCTTACCCTTTCCAAGAGTAAAGGGCCTTAATTAAAACTTTTTTTAAAAGGTGACTGTAACTTTCTTTGAACAGAACAGAATGAAATTTCCGTTTCAGCCAAATTCATTTTATTAACAATTACCTTTCTGTAATTCTTTATTTTCTTGATGACAGGGTTACCCATTAGATTTAGTACAGAAAGTTCAGGCAGCTTTTCAAGAACATCAATAATACACGGATCCTCAAGACTATTGTGTGATAAATCAATAACAGATATGTTTGGTGCCCCCATTAAACCATCCAAGGCATCACTGTTCTTCAACCTGCAAAAGAATAATTATATGATCATTTATTCCATGTTATCAAATGTTTGGCTTTTAGATTTATATTTGGAGCTGACATTAGAACCTAAAATGATGTGCATAACATAAATAGACGAATAGATAATGTTAAACACACACCTATTCTTTGAGATCTGAAGAGTATGCATGGATGGGACAAGGTTTTCAATCTTCATGATGTAGTTGTTGCTGACATTGAGAGTGTGCAATTGAACAACTGGCTCTAAATTTTCAATAGAATGCAGTAAGTTTTGTTGCAGGTACAGGCACTTCAACTCTTTTTGATTATCTAGATTCTCTATCTCTTGTATTCCATTTGCCTCCAACCACAAGCATTTAACCCCAGTGTACAATTCCAGATTTTCAATTTTTCCAAAACCTTGAAAGTGCAAGTACAAGATCTCATTCAATTCTGGTGTAGAGTATCCTTTGTGTGTCTTGCAAATCTTCTTAATTGCTTCTACCGTCATTCTGGGTCCTTCATCTTCATCATTGTCATCCTTGCTGTTCTTGTTGCTGAAATCATCATTTGTTTTCATAACTTCTTTGATGTCCACTGCATTTGCTTTAGGAAACTTATTAGCTTTCTTGATATCATCCTGCCTGTTGCTGTCACTTTGTGATTCCTTGTCTGATTTAAATTCCCCAGCTTCCTCAGCCGAAATTTCCTCAATAAGGGGCATGATACACAACTACTAGAAATAACCGAGGATTAGTGTCTTGACAAAGCAAACTGATGTGATTTTAAATTATTGTCACATTAAATAACAAGAGTAACAATTATGATTATACAGATAAATATGCAAATACATGCTAGCAGTAGAACAGAAGAATAAAATGCTGCTGGTCAAAATATTGTGTGGTCGAAACTAAATTCTTAATTTTCTACCATATTAAGTTTCATTGTGTCTTAATATATTGTATCTATTGGCCAGATCGACTGGGACACAAATTTAGCCAGGGCCGGGATTTACTGAGCTAGATTGACACAAGCTGTGTGTTAACAGGCTTACAGAAGGGAAGTTGGTCTAAAAAGTAAACAAATCATATGAAACAAAACACAGTACTTACTACCACACTTCTATGTGACAAAGACATTGAATAAAATATAACTAAATAATTTAAACAATACGGTGCCGTGTCTTAGCGGCCCTCCTCAAAAAAATTCCTCCCTCATCGGAGCAGAAAGTTTAAACAAATATTACTTTACAAAGAACAAAAAATATTGGCTTATGTAACATTTTAATTGTTAATGGTCCCCTACAGATAATTATATATAAATAGTTAAATCATAAATCTTACTAATGCAGCCATTTATCAACTGTAACAGAACTATTGTTAGTATGATCTTGATAACATTTATCGTGTACAGTCTTTCTTATTATTTATTATTATCAAACTTTACACAAATCCAAAGTAGTTACTGAGAACATCCTAAAGACCTGATAAGTCTACTTAAAAGACTTGTAGAACTGAAAACTTACTATAAATACAAAAAATGGAACTTAAAACTGAACTTATCAAAATCAAAAATTATGCAAAAAATTGAACTTAAAACTGAAATTATCGAACTAAACAAATTTAAAATAAATTTCTCCACAATTGGCGGTTCGAGGCTAAATACCTTAAGTCTGTCAAGTCGTCACTATTATTCAAATTAATCTTTCTTTTATTCAAATCGTCTAAAATAGTTTTAAAAATATTACATTGATGTCTACCAATCCTTCCCCTCATATTTGACATACTATCAACAGCAAAATTTAGAGCTAGTTGTGGTGGTGAGTTGCAGTCGCTACGAAGAATGTGCCCAAACATTTTCCAGCGGGATTTATGAACTCTCTCTGAAAGTGGAGTTACATTGCAACGAGCATACAAGTCCTTGTTGCTGATGATGCGGGGATAGGTCATGTTGATGATACGTCTTAGATGTTTGCGTTGACACACATCAACTTTATTGATAATGTTCTGTGGAGCTGCCCAGCTGTTACAGTTGTACAATAAAACAGGGGTAACAAATGCTTCATACAGCTTGATTTTTACAGGAAGAGAAATGCGGGATTTCTCTGCCCATACCTTGCTGTATTTCTCAAAGGCAACGTAAGCAAGGATGCATCGGCGAGAGATATCAGCCTTACTGCAGAGCTTGGATCCAAGAGAAATAGTGTTGCGCCAGGGCTCTCTGTTCTTCACGGGTTCACCCTTGGCGTCTACCTCGTCCTTATCTGCAATGTAGAAGTGGACATGTTCTGTTTTGTCCTCGTTCACAAACAGGTTCCATTCTTCAAGGATCTCCTTACATATGGGCAGCATTTCTTTAAGAGTTTCCTCGTCCTCGTCTGCAAAATCGCCATCGTCGGCGTATTCCCATTCAATAGGCATGAGGGTCTCGGGGTTGAACGGTGGGTTAGGCCGAATGGTAATCACTACTGCACGGAAGTGGTACAAAGCTCCAGCAAAGTACAGTGTGAAGAATGCACCAGATGCAGCATCACCTTGAAACGAACCCTCGGATGTTTCAAACTCTAAAGAAACGGTGTTGTTGATTTTTATCCTCAATTTGGTGTTGGAGAGCAAGTATCTCGCCAAACGAATGTCATCCTCACAACAACCAGCATCAGCCAAAAGTTCCAGGATAACTGATCTCTTGATGGTATCGAAGGCCGAGCTCCTGTCGATTCCCATCTTGTGGAACTCCCATCTCTTCTCTTTCACAACAGAAATCAGAATTCGTTGAGTCCAGACAATATTGGCACAACTATGACCAGCCTTGTAGGCATTTTGCCATGGTCCTGTGTACTCTGCAATTTGTCTTTGAATTCTGTGTAGAGTAATCAAGGAGAGCAGTTTCCTAGTTCCATTCAGAAGGCAAAGAGGTCTAAGGCTCTTTAGAGGTCCTTTTGGTTTCCCTGGCTTCTGAAGAGGGGTTAGAAACCCTTCCGTAAAAGAGGGTACATGCTCATGTACTTCGAATGATCGATTAATGAGACATGCATATTGCTGGAAGAATACAGGTGGTGCGTACTTCAGCAGCTCGTTAGGAATCTCATCAGGACCTACTGCTTTCCCATTTTTCAACTTTGAAGCAGCATATTGGACTTCTAAGGAAGTTATAGGAGTATTCAGAGGACGTGGGAGTCCAGTGAAAGGTACCAAAGGAGGGTCTGAGCTGGTGTAGTGATTTTTTAAACCACTCTCTAATGATACTTGCTTTCTCATCGTCACTTGCAACTAGCTGATTTTCAGAGTTGAAGACAGATATTGGCTCTGACTCTTTGTTGGCAGCAAGAGCTCTGGTAGCCTCGAACATCCTCTTCGTGTCATCTGCAGCGTTGATGGTGTCAGCTAGTTGGTTGGCTAGAGCTGTCTCTAGCACTTTAAGACGTTTATTGATATCGTTCTTGAGTTTATTGATACGTTTTCTCAATACTGTCCTGTCTCTAACTGAATTGTCGTTCAGTTCTTGTAAAAGTTTGTGTCTCTCATCAGACATATTACATACATGCTGATCTGATGAATGATGATGTCTTTGGGTTTTCTTCTTGACACCCACAGTGTTAGAGGCTGAAGACTTGATAGTTTCAAACAGCTGTTCGAAACCTGTCTTAGTGTCAGCGGAAGGTGGAAGACTGTCAATTTGCTGAGTGACAGTTTGCTGGTACTGATCTTGTAGTTCCTTGTTACAAACCAGCGATGTCGTGTTGTACCTTTTAGCAGCTGATGTACTGTTTCGGTATAACTTAGTTTGCTGCCTCAGGTCTATGGTAGCTTTTACAATCTTATGTAGGGCCTGTCGTGATATCATGGATCGCTTAGGTTCCACCAGGATCTGGTAGTCCTTATAATTCTGCGGCCTCTATGTTTTGTCATCTCGCACAACTCTTTAAGAATCTTGTGGATTTGGCATGTGAAAATTTGCAGCCTTCCAGACATTGATTGGGTTAACGAGGTGTCGTACGTCACCTCAAGATCGGGTGACAGGGGGCTGACCAGGCCAGAACCCAATTGATTGGGTCTTAGGTCACGTGATTATGAGCCTGAGGTCACGTGACTATGACGTCACCAGACCTTCCTCTCCGTTTCCCGCTCATTGGACCAGGTGAGCTTGCATGCATGTGAATGTGGGTGTAAGTATAGCTGTACTGTAGTTTATACCTAATTAAACCCCTATAGAAACCGAAAATTTATTTTCTGGCAGAAAGCTAGAAATTTACCAAAATATCGTCATTGTTTTAAATTTATTTTGATGACCATTCCTGACCTAAAATCGCACGAGAAATCGATTAAACTTGGTTTCAGAACTCAACAATGCTTCCTTATGTCTTAAAATCCATGTTTTACCAATACAATCAACATCTCGATCATGTAGTTAAACTTATTACTTAACGGATTCAAGTATAGTTACGCGGTAGACAAACTAAAAGAAGGTAATATTTGGAACAAATATTTTACGAGTATCACCCGTTAAATAAACTTATATTATGTATAAAAACCTTGTGTTATGTGGCAGTTGTATTGCAATTTGTGCAATTTCAGTTGGGCAGCCTTTTTTAAGTGTCTGTTATTTCAATTTTCGTAATTAATCTGGAAGTATTATCGGCATCTTTTCACACATATATGACTACTAGCACATACACAGTGGCCAATAAGCTGTACACAGCAGGGTTTCAGCGTAATAATCGATCTTTTAGAATGTTCTAGTTTGAGTGTAGAATAGCCATTAGAGCTGAGTGTAAGATTAGGTAGGATTAGTGTATAGCTTTTGGATGGTTTTGCGGAGTAAGACACGCGTTAGTAGGGTGCATTAGTTAACAATATGTGGCCAATTGCAACAGCTTATTCTACTGATAGAATATATCGACCAATGGCAGCAGTTTTAATCAAGATTACGCTAAAAAGGGCTGCTAAATCACGCAAGAAATGCAAGCATTATTTTAATCGTTACATTTTCAATTCGTTACAATTTTCCATTCAAAAATGAAGTTTTCCTCCCTTATTGGAGAGCCTCTTGAGTTACCTCAAACGATTCCTTCGACTAGGAGAGTGCTTCAATTATTACTTCTTAGAAGTGACCAGCAACCGAAGGTACAGATTAACAGAATTCTGACCTTGGTGGCTGAGGAACTTGTTCAATTTTATGCTGAATCGGAATTATTGATATCTCTTAACAGTAAAGCCAACATCTTCAAGTATGTAGTTTCAATTTCCCTTGTAAATATTGTCGCTGAATATATGATCAAGCTATTAGATATATTATTACTTGCAACTTTACACGTGAATTTTTTATTCTTTTTGTTACAATTCGTTCGATATCCGTAGATTAAGACAGAAGTTGAGGGAGCGAGTGTGAGCATAGAACACGTATCAGCAAATTACGGACTTTGTTTGTTTATGATGTAACACTTATTTCGGAGGTTTTTATTCATTCATCTTTTACTTTTAGAAAACTGAAGAAACTTCATGCAACCATGAAGAAGATCCGTAACTGTAAAGTCAACAATACACCGTACGCCGACTTCCAGGATGAATTGAACTGATGTATTGATAAAACATGGATTTTAAGACATAAGGAAGCATTGTTGAGTTCTGAAACCAAGTTTAATCGATTTCTCGTGCGATTTTAGGTCAGGAATGGTCATCAAAATAAATTTAAAACAATGACGATATTTTGGTAAATTTCTAGCTTTCTGCCAGAAAATAAATTTTCGGTTTCTATAGGGGTTTAATTAGGTATAAACTACAGTACAGCTATACTTACACCCACATTC